AAACACCGCCACTAACTGATGAAGATAAAAGTAGAATTAGAGATACGCTTAGTAAATGCTACATCGATGGGATCTTGCCGAAGGAATTGACCCCTAACCAAGTGGAAACGGGGATGGATTATGTACGCGTTATAATTAATCCTGACCTCTACAAAGTTCAAGTCCAATGGTTAAAAGAACATGCAGTGACGTTTTTTTTTGGGGATGACTCAACGTCCCTTCCCATCGACGTGAAAAAAAAGTTGGTGAGAATTTACGAAGATGGGTGGGCAACGGCGAGAACGCTTAATGTCCCTCCAAAAAGGGAATTGTTCCACAATGACGCAAAAAAACTCGTCACCTATGTCGCCTCTGTGCCAAAAATCGCAACCTGGATGCAGTCGAAGGCCCAGGTAGAGATAGTGCTCGGCAGAAAGAAATATACAATGTGTTTTCTACCCTGGATGACGGAAAAGCAGTTAACGGAATGGAGGGACACAATGCGCCTCCCATATTTTTGGATCCGTTGTCTTCAGGTTCCAGTTACGGCCATGGCTCTAATTGAAATGGTTGTAAAAGATGCCTTTGGCAGTATCCTTAAGGCACATCCCACCTTCAATGTCCCCGGTTCTCCGGAACTGAAGGATGTAAGGTTTGATTTGATACCATCGGCAAAGGACCGCTTGAAAGAGTCTCTCATAATTGACTTGTTGGAGGACGGTTACATTCAGGTAGATTTGGTGTGTGTCTCCACCCCTTGGTGTGAGGCATGCAGACCTTACTCCCTTAAGTCGTCAGATGACTCTTGCCCAAAACACAAGCGGCAACAGTCGATCCCTCCGCTCAAGACGAATTCCCCGGTGAAAGCAAAAGGCGACAGTGGTCAACCAAAGGACCAACAGAAGTCGGGTGAAGATAGGGTTGATAAAGAAAACGACAAGGACAGTAAACACGATGATACTAAGGAGAACGATGAAGGGGGAAAGGACAACAACAGAAAGGGGGATTGAGGAGGAAAGAGCAGAGAACGGAAAGATAAAAAGAAGAAGAAAGCCCTGAAAAGAGGGATAGAGAACGGATGTTGTGGTAAAGAGCGGTGGAGGGAAGATGGGAAAGGTCCAGTCAAGGAGAAACTCAAGAAAAAGAGGAGGTCCAGGATAGTGGAGAATCGGGAGGGAAAGAGAGATGGTTAGGGGTCGACAAAGGATATGGAAGTAGAAAAGATAGTCGTCGACGAAGGGACGAAGGAAAAGGGACGTGTTCCCAAACTCGGGGGATAAATGATTTTGGGGGAAATGGATCACCTAGTGACGAGAAGGAGGGGGAAGGGTCCACTCCAAAAGAGACTAAGAATGACAAGCAACTAGCGGTGAAAACCCCTATGAAGGAGAAAGAAAAGGATGAGGTGGGCTTGGAAGTCATTGATCTCATCAAAACCGCAGAGGACGACGAGAGAGTTTGCGTCCGAAAAATGACGAGCCAGAGAAGTATTGTGAGAAAGCCCCTGTTTACGATAAGGGTAACGCAGTTAAAAGAGTAAAGGGGAAAAAGTCGCCGGAAATGGAAGTGGCAACAGATGGGGAAGGCAGATGAGACGGACGTAAGAGGTCAGAAGGTAACGGAAAGAAAGAGCAAAGGAAAGAAAATGGAGAAGAAAGAGGAGGAGGTAGAGGAAGAGAAGGAAGGGTCGGTTTCAGGGATCAGGAAAAACGAAGACGAAGAAGGTACGAGGGAAAGAAAAATGGTGGATATGAAACAAACCACTGGAGAAAACCCACAAACGGTGGGCGGACATGAAATATCATGGGGTTAGTGAAGGGAATGAGGAGGGAAGCGGAAAGGAGGATTTTCTCTTCTCCCCCCTCCTGCCAAACACCCCCACCGCACGTCGATTATTTATTAAGGCTCGGGCCTCAAGCTTAGACTCAAACAATGAATCACGTTCGGGACGTTCGGGTAAGACCTCGTCAAGTAAAATAGAAAAGGAAATCTGTGTCTTTGAAAACTCGGCCTTCTCCCCACCAGCACTGATGATACTGGAAGGAATGAAGAACCTGGGTAGTCCACAAGATATCAGTACCATAAAACTATCCCTGGGTAAACCGTTTGTTTTGAGCCCAGAAGGCTCGAAGGGGGGGAAGGATGTGTTGATGGACCAGAGAAGGGAGGATGCCTTGTCAGACTTACAGGATCACAGGGAAAAAACCCAACCCTAAGAGCTAAATATCAACATAGTAGATCCCAGCTCGTAAGAGGAGATACGCAAAAATTCTAATTAACAACATTGACTGTGGAAAAGCAATTGGGTTCCCTAGCTAAAAAGGTCAAAATTAATAACCAACAGAGTATAGCACTCAAGGAAAAGGAATGGATTCACTCCCTTGTTGAGCCCTCTTTGGTTGACAGTTCATCAAAGAAGAGACCGCGAATGCTAAGGTCGACGCAAAAAACTTTGTCGCTTGCCACCCCAATGAAGACTTTGGCATAAAAAGGAGATTTCAACCGCCGCGCCCGAAAAATCATCGTGCCGATTGTTCCTTAGTGATTGAGCCTCTGGTTATTGTTTGATTTGAAAGTGTTTCTTAACGATGTAAGGGCATTGGTTTAACTGAGTGGAGAAAAGAGCCGGTTAGGATGGGTGAGACGGGAATTGGGAGCGAAAAGGGGAACGGAGTCTCCTTCTCCTCCTCTCCTCCCCCCCTCCCCCCCCCCTCTATTCCTTTGGGTCTTGTTAGACTTTGGTCTATAAGGGAAGTAACTACTACGTGCCGCAGGAAAGTAGGGGGTGAATCCCTAGTTTTCTTTGTGACTAGTGGGTTCGCCAACATAGGACGGGACAATACATCCCGAAGCATGTATGGTGAGGTTGTTTACCATGTCGACAGAGGTCTGCAAGGAACGAGTGCTGGAATCGGAGGGAGATGCAGTGAGGCTTGATCCCTGAGCGGGGCTTAGAGATAAGATGTTATCCATTTGAGAAAGGATTACACTGCCCCTCGACACAATATATTTATGTCAAAGTCTCGGGGAGTATAATATAATACTTATATTATTATCACATTCAAAGATTTTCATGGTTGGAAAATTTATCTTGATCATGGTATCATGATATTAACTTCTTCATTACGATACATTATTGTTATTATTATTGCATGATCAAGACGATTGAAAGAGATAAAATTTTAGAGAGCGAATGAGAGTTTAGCAATAAGGTCCGGTAAGGAACTGATAAGACAGACTGACTCTAAGGCAGGAATTATCCTGCTCATCTTTGAGTTGAGGCTGCTCAACTTTGAGTAGGTGCGTGACTTTGAGGCTATTTTGATTCCTTTTTGAGTTGAGATATCCCGACTCTATACATAATATAGACTTGAGACTACCTCTTTGTCTGACGATCACTGTCACTCTCACGTGTGTGGATTTATCCTGATGTATGATGATTTTTTATGTGAGAGATGTACATGATGCATCTCGTAGGTTTTGTAAATGTGAAATGTGTAAACTGTCTACTCTTCGATATACTCGCGCAATCTGCCTACGAACAGACAATAGGCTCGAGTACGAGGAAGGGGAGCGCAGTTCGTTTTGTGAAAATGTGTAAAGTCCCAAGGGATTTATGAGTCTTCTGAGACTCAAGTGCTTGTCCATGCCGAGTGTTAACTGTTGAGTCGAGACGAGGACCCACAAGTTGGTCTCTCGGTAATGAGTGTTTATGGTTGACTCCCCTCTATGTGAGAGGTGGTTGTAATAATTTATGATTGATTACCCTCCATGAGGGAGGTGAATGTGAGATTTTATGAATGAGTCCCCTTCAAAAGTGGAAGGTGGTTAAATGATTTGAAATGGCATGGACATCGGTTTGAATGATAAAGTCTGACGAGAAAGACCAAGAGAAATTATTATTTTAGTGAAATTTTGGAAGGTCGCAAATTGGTGAAATTTTGAGAGGTGTCTATAAGATGTGTGGTATGCTTTACTCTGATCAAGTGGGAGGTCACGGCCCTGTAAATCTGGCGGTGAATTTTTATGGATTTTGGAAAGGACGGAGTGCTATCTATATTGTCCTATAGA